GGACCCAGCTGAGTATGGACTGAAACCTCCAGTAACTGTGAGCTAAATAAACCTTTCCTTCCTTCATTTTGAGTGTCGGGTATTTGTCCCAGCAACGAGAGAAGAGTAACTAAGACAGAGGGACAGCTTGAAAGTACAGACACCAGATAGCTGCTGACGCCCCCAGAAGCTTCCATGAGAAGCACACAAGTAGAGTGTGGGGTGGACAAAACACAGTACTGTGTCTGGTGACTTATACTGGACAGTCAGCCTAAAAGAGAGGGCGACTGGCTAGGAGCCATCTGAAGAGGGGTCAACTGCTCTCAGGACCCAGCTGGAGGCCAGCCTGAGCTTAAACGGAAATGGGGTGCAGACTTACTGAGATGAGCCTCTACCCCGCATGGAGCTGCTCTGGGCTTGCTGGGATTGATCCACGCGGATCTGGACTCTGCCCACATTGTCTACCAGTGGGTAGCAGAGACACCTTAAAGTAGACACCTTTTTTTCCTTATTTTCTTTCTCATTTTTTGTTTTTGGATTTTCTTTATTGTTTGTTCTTTTTTGTTTTTTTTGTTTTTTTTCCTTCTCTCTTTTCCCCATCTTCTGTACCAGTTTCCAAAGTCTAGGAGATCCTCCTTTGCCCTACAACCTTGCTTCTAATGTCTTATTTTTCTTCTATTTGTCAATTTTTTTTACCCTATTCCTTTTAAAATGTTCTCACACTGAGGGCTTATTTACTGCATATAACTTTCTGGTTTGTTTTAGGTTATTTTTATATATCCACAAATCTAGTCATATGGTAAAAAGTAGCAAATTAATAGTTATCACAGTCATTTTCTAGGTGGTATTTGATGCTATGTTATGGCTGACTGTACTATTTTAGCCAAGGTGATATAATTGTTTTAATCAGTTGTTCTTTCTGGTATGCCAAGATTGATACTGCCTAAGAGTCATAAAAAATAATACAGGCCCCCCAAAAAGTACTATAGGCCAGTGCCAAAGAACCAAGGGGTAGGCCAAATAGGCAACTTCTCATTCCCAGTAAAGTGAGGAAGTAGGATCTTGAAACTGACTCAAAACCTAAAAGCCAGCTACACCTGAAAGACATCTCTGAGTAGTCATTTTCTAAGGGCACTAAATACTAGTAATAAAGCTAACTTCCATAAGCAGTATACAATCATCAACCCAGGAATTAAACTAAAACAAAGAAAGAAAGGAAGGAAGTGAAAAGATACTTAAGCAAGATGCAGTCCCAGACTTCTAATTCACCAAAAGCAAAGTCAAGGGATAACGAGAAGAGAGCCACCACCTGGGCTCTCTGAAGTAGTAACCGTGGAAGAAACAAAGCAGATGAATGAAGCTCCAAAAAAAAATCAAATCAGAAATAATTTCTCAGATCCAGTCCTAGCCCAGGCCCGGGACTTAAAGTTCAACATATCAATACTTGATGAAAAATATTTGGTCCATGTTATGCCTAAAATGTTTGATATTTAGACAGATAGTAAGGTTAAGCTTAACAGCCTAGGTTGTATGGTAATAACAATAAACTTCTCTTCTGGAGGGTTAACAACCTAAGTTTGCAGACCAAAATTGGAGAAAAAGGAGGGCCACAAGGAAAGCCAACATTTTGGTCCTAGTCTTCCAAGGTCAATTAAGACTCAGGACATATGAGAACTTGTACTGTAACGTCACGTAACTCGGTAGTGTCCCAAATTTTCTGATCAAGGAGATTATGGGGCCAAAGAGGAAAGTGATCGATGATGTAGAGTGTGCCTAAGGAGAGTCACATGGAGAGAAAACATTCTCTCAGACTTTCACAGAGAGTACAATGGCCAAGCTATGGCCGTG